GTTCAAAAAGGGTGACATTAGATACTCTTGCAGAACTATGAACCGAAACCTTTTCGAGAATCATTACGTTTTAACTTTACTGTAGAACTTATTCATACACTGCGGTAAGTTATACAGAAAATCGAAGAGCATATCTGCCACTTTACTTGACGCTTGTGGACTCTAAGAAAGTCTTCGATTCGAGCGAGCCTATATCTCCATCGAATCAAAAAAATTCTTGTCTCTACGTACGACGTTTACGGTTTACGGAGCGAATACTACAAACGAACGCACCACCCGTTATTGGTTTGGTCGCTTCCGTTCTAGAAATTTTGACCTGAAAAATGAACCCCGTTGTCGTCCGAAAACTTTGGTCGACAATGACGAATTAAAGACGATTGTGAAAGCTGATGAAACTCAATCTACGGCTGAATTAGCAGCAGCTTCAAATCGGCAAAGTAAAAAAGCTTGACAAATGGGTACCTCACGAACTCAATGATCGCCAGCGCGACGTACCCAGCTTACGTCAATCGTTCGTATCCACTGGTCCTGCATGACAACACGCAATCACATTCTGCACAGCAGACGGTCTCCAAACTATAAGAGCTGGGGTTGGAAGTTCTCCGTCATACGCCTTACTTACCAGACCATGCGCCTACAGACTTCTACTTTTCCAGAATTTTAATAACTTCTTGGCGGGAAAAAAATCAATACCTGAGAGGCAGTACAAGATGCCTTTGAAGAATTTGTTGACGATAGAAACCAGATGGACGGGAGTCTGACATCTGATTTCTTCAAGAAGGGCATCAATAAGCTACCAATAAGTAAAAGAAATAAAAAAATAGGCTTCATTTATTTCATGAAAAATAGCAATTTCATAGGTATGATAGACCTAATATTAAATTGCCATATCGGTCGGAGTACATAACTAGGACTTAAATCTCATCCAATTGCAGTGAAACATGAGAGAGAGAGAGTCGAAAACTGTTTATTTAGTGCCTGGGGGAAAGTATAAGGCATCAATATTAATGTCTAAGTACTAAACTGGCGGCACGTTATGATGGCCGTTTTGACGTTTGTCCGCTCATGAAGTTCCGTATTAATTGATAACGACTTTGAAGGAAATAATTGCATTACTTTATTGACGATAGTGATGTGCAGAGATTCATAAGTGATGTGCAGAGATTCCTAAGTTTTATCGAATGTAGTTTTGGGAACCAAAAATTAATTTATTAAATTGATTTCTAAAATGTATACAAGTGTAGAAAAATCAGTTTGCACCATTTTCACTATGTGGCTACCTCTGAAATCGCAAAAAATATCAGCTGTTTCATACAAAAGGTAAAATTTTTATTTTTGTATGATATATGATTGGTGTACTTATTTATACCACAACTCGGCGTTTGGTTTTCTAAATTGAAAATTTTTAAAAATGGTATCTAATACGATCGTCACATAGGATCGCTGGCTAGCACAACTATTACCTCCGGCAAACTCGCGTCAATGCTTAATGCAAAACAAAGCAGTTTCGAATTGACGTTGCTTCGAAAAGTATAAACTGTCAGTGCAATGCGATTGTGATATAGTTTTGACCTGGCTTTGGATTTCAAATATTGATATTGCATTACTGTTGACCCTTGCTCGTTAATTTGGACTCTGTTCAAGCCCTTTGTTGTGAATTTCGTCTATATGACCGAACGTACGCAGAGAACTGTTTTAAATAGTCAGACATTTTGATCGTGAATCTCAAAATGGAGGGCCAATTTTACCTATAACGTCAGTGGTTGAACGCGTAGCTGATGCGCTTAATATTGGACAACGAACTGTTAGACGAATAACTAAAGAAAGATATGGCGAGACTGGCACAGAAGAAAATAAACTTCACACACCAAAAAAGAGAAAACGAGCAAAACCAGTCGTAGGCATCGATAGCTTTGATGCCGATGCTATCCGAAGACATGTTTACGGCTACTATTTACGGAACAAGTATCCAACAAGAAAAAAGTTGGTGCATTCACTGAAGGAAGCTGGATTATTCTCCGGTGGGGAAAGTTCTTTAACGAAGATTTTGAAGACCATAGGATTTCGATACAAAAAATGTAACAAACGCAAAATATTGATGGAAAGATTTGATATAGCGATGGCAAGGTATATTTTATTACGGCAAGTGAAACAAATCAAAAATTGGCAAAATGTTGTGTTCTTGGATGAAACATGGCTTAATGCTAACCAACCGTAGGCCGTTCTTGGACCGATGACACAGCAGCATCGGATCGCGACTTATAATTAATCACGCCGGAACCATCAACGGGTTCGTCGAAGGTTCTCTCATGGCTTTTGCGTCAAAAACCACTGGAGACTATCATGGAGACATGAATGGAGAAAAGTTTACTGAATGGTTTACCTCAATGTTGTGTAGCCTCCCTGAACCATCTATTATAATTATGGACAACGCCCCATACCACTCGATGCAAATTGACAAGCCACCTGCCCAATCCCAAAAGAAAGCTGACATCGTCGCATGGCTTCGTAAAAATGACGTAGATGCAAACATGAATATGTTAAAAGCGGAATTAGTACGTCTTTTAAAAGAAAACAAACCAACCAAGATCCGATACGTCATTGACGAAATAGCATTAGAACATGGGCACAGAGTTATACGGTTACCGCCTTACCATTGTGAGTATAATGCGATTGAGTTGGTGTGGGCTCAAATTAAGGGATATGCTGCAAGACACAAACAGAACCCCCATTTACCACAAAAAAATGCTAAAATTATTAGAAGAAGCTTGTGAACATGTGACTAAAGGAGACTGGGAAAAGGTTGTGACTAGAACTGTTAAATTAATAAGGGAAGCTTATGAAAGAGATGTGAAAATAGATAATGTTATAGAAAACGAACTTATAATTAATGTAGGTGATGATAGCAGTGACGACAGTGAAAATAGTAGTATGGAGGAATCTGATTAAATATGGCCTTTTGTGGCACTTTTTTTGGTATCTTTTGTATTCATATGTTTCTTGTGTGCATATAAAGTATGTATATTCATTTTCATTCAAATATTCAGTTCGTTCAAATATATTAAATAAACATTTACATTTTTGTTTTATTAAACCTATTTAATCAGGTACAAAAACAAAACTTATTTGTTTTTTTGTTCGAGAATAAATTGACATTCCACATCACTATTGTAATATGTCAAAACGGCCATCATAGCGTGCCGCCAGTGTAATACACCTTTGTTTTGCTGACACCTCTGAGAATTGAATCCGTGCGTGAAGATTTCGGTGGTACTCAATACTTAATAATTGTCAACATATGTAACATAGAATAGATGGCATTCAAAGTCAAAGTCAAAATAATCTTTATTCAAATAGACTTCTTAAAAGTACTTGTGAATCGTCCTACATTTTTTCCCTACCACTCGTTCAGGACGCCTTTTGCCTGATAAGAAGAACGAGCAAGAAACTCACCAGCTCTAATAAGAGTAATGACATTTACAATAACCATGTCATTACCAGATCAATACATTATAAACAGAGAGAGATAAAAAAAAATCTATGGTCTTATAATGATAATATAATCATTTAATAATAATGGAAACAAGATAATGAGTTTAGAAGTAATCACCTATCCAGTCGCTGGATCATCTCAAGTCCAAGCGTTCTTATCTGTTATATAATCGGATACCTTATAATAAGCTTTTTTAATAAGTATTTTTTTAATAGTAGATTTAAACTGCATGATATCTAATTGTTGTATTTTGCTTGGGACCTTATTGTAGAAGCGCACATAAAGACCCTTGAATGAGTTATTAACTTTTTGCAGTCTAGTGACAGGCACCGTTAATTTATTTTTATTTCTTGCATTAAAATTGAGTACATCACTTTTTATAGAAAACAAACTAATATTTTTACGAACGTACATTAAGTTCTCGTATATGTATTAAGAAGCAACAGTCATAATGTCTATTTCCTTAAATTTCTCCCTTAAAGAGTCCCTAATCCTAAGATTATAAATTGATCGAATTGCTCTTTTCTGAAGCACAAAAATTGTTTGTATGTCGGGTATGTTATTCCTAAAAATACTGTGGTATCCACAAGGCCCATGTTCTTATCTTTTATATTAACATTTTTATCTACTTTTTTAACATTAGGTAGTACAAATTTTAAGCATTTTGTTTTTCCTTCATTAGTATAAACATGAACGTATGACCCGGAATCGGTAGGGCAAAACAATTTGGAACGACAGGCAGATGTTAAAAATATATCAAATAGAGCAGTCAGTTTAGAGTTAGCAAATAATACAAATATTGAAAGTACAATAGTAACATCAATTAATAAGTTTTATTGACATTATATTGGTTATATTGGTATTGGCTAAAGAGTGGTGGTGGAATCACATGTCCAATGTAAAATTTTACTCTACTACTGTAATTTAAGCTCAGCAATACTACACTTACAGTTTTGTTTAAATTCGAGAAAGAGATTTCTCTTCGAATCCAGCTTGTATGAACAGCGTTTGAAAAACTATCAAAAAAACTTCGCTCATTATCTCACGACAATATACGTTGCCAGTGATGACTTACGGAAGCGAAACGTCGTTTACTATGGATGTAATAAGATAGGTTCCACTGAGCATATTATTGATTTTGTCAGTTTTGACGGTTAGCGATGGATCTTCCGTGCTATATAAACTAACTCTTAAATTTTTATCTAATTAAATCAAAAATCTCTATTAGAAGAACCATTCACGTTAATGATATAGCAAATGTATATTCACATTTATTGTATGTAAAAGTGGCTGGTGTGATAAAATCGTCGTTACAAAAAAAAACGTGCTTTAGGTATGTTCAAAGTTTCACTCACGAAAGTATAAGATAAAGTATAAGGCCTCGTTATTACGTTACCAGTAAGTACTCCCAGTGTATACTCACCTTATGATCTGTCACAACAACTACAGTATGTAGACTGATATCTACATGATGTGTACTTTATTGAGAACTAAGTTTAACTAAAACATGGGGAGTAGGTTGCGTAGATCCTGGAGTAGTGGAAAGCGCAAGTATGAGGTGCGCGCGCCAGTGAGCTGGCGGTTAGCGCGCGGAGCACACGCGCGCGTGCGCATCACCCCTCCGTCCGGTATACTGCGGCGATTATAGCGCGCACCCGCACGACACACGGCGTCTGCGCATACACGGTACGCATACTTTGTTTACATATCGACAGATATAACATTTCCAAATTCAAAGTATTTAAGCTAATATTTAAATGGACAGCGTCAATATTTGGTAACCATTCACTAACACTATAATTTGTTATTTATATAGAGCAAATAGATGTGTGATATTTGTGTGAGTTTCTATTTACTATTTGTATGTTTTGTCATATTGTTGTGTGGATCAATAGAGATGTCTAGGTAAAACAATTAATGTAGAGATAACGAGTACTTACTTTTTCGTATTACAATTTACTGACATGTCAGTGTACGTGTTCTGCGACGGATTGATGTGCATCAAGCATTAAGTAAGTAAAACAAAATATAGTATACCCATTGTTGCACGCTACTTCGTTCTCGCCTCTATTCTTCTTCACGCCTAAACTGTCTCTAAACCAAATATCATCACAAGCTTAATGGTTTGCCCATGAAGGGGTAGCAAAATACAGGCAGTTATTTTTGCATCAAAGTATCTATTCATGAACTTTTAGTATGGAGAATCTTGTTTCAGTTTCAAAGAGTATTAGTAAATAGTCACAATCAACACGATTCAAACTTATAATTAATATCTCATATATTTGGGCCGGATTCATTCCTTTTATATTCTACAGTACAACAAAATCTCCATACATTAATAGTAATGTAGGTATAAGTTTTCTAAATTAATGTGCGCAGACTCTTTTAGCTGGAAAGGTATTCAATAGTTATTATGACTTGCGAAATACAAATATCAAAATATTTTTCTAATATATCAACCTGAACCATAAATGTAATTAAATAAGTCATTAATATACTAAAACATGATAATAGTTATAAGAGCATTTATAGATATTTTCTCTTTCTCAAGAAATAATGAATCGACATCAAATAAAATAGGAGCACAAACAAACCACTTTATATTAATTAAAATTGTAAAACAGACAGACCAGCGTGCGCAGATGTACAATTGTGCCACTTGTACAACAATTATACAATAATTCTGCAATCCATCATTGCTATAAATTACTTAAACAATTATGTTTTAAATGAGAACTTATCGAAATTTATTATAGAAAATGAGTCGTAGTGGAGGACTTGTCGTTACGTGCTACATAAAATAGGTTCAATAACTAAAATAGCAAAACACCGAAGACAGCGTTGTCTCTCTTAAGAGGTAATAAATATTTTAAAACGATGGAACCTGCAACGCTGAGACAGTGCTGCATTCGGCGCTGTATTTTTAGAGAATGTCAAAGCTGGTTTGAGATTACAAAAAGAAATTATCCGTAGAGTCACATATTTTTTCCGCACTAATTGGCAGACATCGGAAAACCGGTTTGTTTGGATAATCTAACTGTATTGATTCTGGCATATTATATTTATCCACAGGCGAATGATATAGTAGATCACTATACAAGGGGTCTTGGCGTAAGAAAATTTTGTACACGACAGATTTTATTGCTTTTACTTACAGTTTCAAAAACTAAATAGATCAAAATAAATTACAATTTTCATTTGCCAAAAGCAGCCTATCGTAAATACGCGGGAGGGTGTTGGTACAGTGCGCGCTGTTGGGCGGGCGCAATAGTCGGATAATCGACACGGCACTGTACATCGTGTAGGTAGGTCTACCTAGGCTCCAGGGGACGACGTAACCAACACAATTTTGTAAATATAAACATTTCATATTGAACACGATTAATAAGAATACTCTAATAAATATTTATCTTTGAACATCCGAGTATGTTTATCAAAAGTAATGTAAGAGTTGTCTGTACTTATTAGTCGAGTTCCATAGTGTACACCGGCCCTGGGTCCCTGCGGGCTGAGGTAGAGTCGTGGGAACGGCCTCGACTCGCGCAAATAAATCTCGCGATTAAATTTCATTATGGGTATGTGTACGCGTGCGCGTGCGCCGCCCCGCCCCCCTAATTGCCACGCTCCCCCCTTCCACACCCAGTTACCCTCCCGTCGACCCTCACGTCTTCTAAATGACGATATAATCTAACGTTAATTTCTACTACTGATGGATATTTTTGTAATGTTGTTAACATTTTATCCGAAAAGGAATTATAAAGAAAAATAAATATTCAACCAGCGCATCGAAAACCCCTTTAGAGTGCATTTTTTGGAGAAATTATAACGTATCTGCAAAATAATCTACTAATAATTCATAGCAGTAAAAGTATTGTATAAAAAGTCACTGGCATGTTTAATAAACAAGAGTATGTGTTACGAACGAAAAAAGAAAATATAGTCATTTCGTATTCGTATATTCATTGTTTAATACCAACATAAACTGTATTTAGCAGATAAAATCAGTGTTGTAGAATATTATAGATGTGTGTATAGTAGAGGGCAGCGGCGGCGGGCGGCGGGCGGCGGGCGGCGGGAGGTATGGTCATGTGGTGGTGTTGCGGACAGATGACACCGCTGCCCCCCGTACTCTGATACGACGGACGACATAAAAAAATGTAAACCGCTAGCCGGTACTTGCGGCACACATACTATCACTTGGACACTTGTTATAATAATAAGATGCCGTTACAATAATATTAATCCCGAATCATATTGGATACATGGTCGCAATGAAAATTAAATGCCTCTTGAAGATTGGAATGTTACAGAACCGTGATATACCAGTTAAACAAAACACTCGTGATAATACCTAATAGCTACCGATTAAACCATTAAGCAGATAAAAATGTATTTTGTACCTGTCAAATGTGACGCAACAACGTTAGGATGTTAGGATATCTTTTCACTTCGATCCTTTAGGATTTCATTAGAGCGTTCCTATTCTAACGGTAACTATAAAAAATACAATTAACTTGCTCGATGTCGAATGTCGACTCACTAAGCTCGTACTATTTTAGTCGCACGCTGTCGCTGTAAATTATTTAAATCCTTGATTAATAACTCAAGTGACAAACAAGTAAGAGTAGTTTGTGGCTTGTGTCGTGTCGTGTAGGTGCGCGGGCGCCGCTCCACGGACCGTGATCCGACTGGTTCCTGTCAACTTAACTCCTCAATGTGTAAGCTAACTGGTACCGAGACGCCAATAACGTGTAATTGAAGTTGATCGTAATTTCAATGAAACATTTCACGCGAATGTTCTTGTAATAAGATAGAATAAATTTCATTGTACACTTACAGAAATATATAAAAAAAACAAGTACTTCTGGAAGTTTTATCAATAGACAGCGATCTCTACTGGCAGGCCTACCGCGTTGCCGGCGCTGCATTTGAAGCTTTTCATTATTACAATAATATACCACCTCCGATAAGAAAATGCTACAGTATTGAGAGATATGTAATACTTCACGGCGTGGCTCTAAACCATACGATTAACTTGTGAGTAAGTAACATTGTTTAAATTTTACTATTTAATCGTATGTCATATAATATATTTCATAACGTCAATATAAAAACTCAAGTGGCAACTGCCAACGTCAAGTTGTGAGATAATGGTAACAGCGCTGAGGGAGTCGCTCAGCCACCAGGCGGTGTGGCGGTGTGTGAGCTCGCACCGCACCTCGCGGGATGTCTGTATTTACGTAATATTATGTGGACATTCTATTGATTCTATTTTTTGTATGAATATACAAAACAAAATCATTGTCATTTAGAAACTCATTTCACTTATGCCATGAAACGCCATTACCGTTATTTGAAGTGAATTCATCAGACACCCGAGTGAATTCGAATTCAGGTTTGCATTTTAACAGAATCGCAGGGCTGGTCTGTAGAAGATCCATGACGTGCCACAATAATATTCGTTAAATATTTTTCTTTTCTAAATCAAAATACTAAGTCGTTAATGCTTATAATAAATGCTTTCAAAATCTCGTTTTAGTTTAATTTAAAAAATTTTAAAGTACGTCTATAGTATGGCATCTCAGGCTTGTTTAATACTTATAGATAATAAACGAAAACTTGAGCTTAGTTGGGCAACAACAAGACAAGTTCTTGTCCTGTTTTTTGGGCTGTTGGTCGAAAGTGGCCACTGAATATGGAGTCCACAGCGGCGTCATTCCTTACAACTGTATGTTGTTATTGGCAATTGGCATACTCGCCGGGATGTGTGTGTGTGTGTGTGTGTGTGTGTATGTGCGAGGTTTTCGACTTATCTCCAATTAAAATATTTATTACACTAGCTGTTTTCCGCGACCTCGCCCGAGTAATTAGATTGTTAACTTTCATTTTTGAAAGAAAATTGTTACAGTAGAATTAAAGGAAGCGCGACATTCCGCTTTGACTATCACAAATGGACAGTGGAGCCCGGGAGTTTGTCTCTAAATACAGTTCAGTAACGCAGTATGGCCAGAAGGTAGCACTTATTCTAATTGCTCTGGATTGACAAAGCTTGGACGTTAGCTGTTCTTGCAACATCTACTAGGTAGCTGTTAAAACGATGTTGGTGCTCATAAAAAGTCAGGCGCCCGCGTCATTCGCAAAACATTGAAATAAATACGTGTAAAAAACATTATACGAATTACGTCTTGTTTAAATAATTACTTCAAAGTTTTCGACTGAATTATGATTGAAAATGACAATAGTTTCTGCAATCGTAAACTCAACACTTACATTTATAATTTAATAATAGATTGTTTATTAGATGTTATTCAGAATACAGCGAGCTCGTTAACTCGTATTAAAGAGACCTGAGTGTGATCCGATCCCGCAGCATCATCGCGCGTAACGAGCCGCGCGCAAGGGCTGTCTACGTGCAATAATAAATACATCATATAGTTACGACTTTGGGCTTATTTAACACAATAAAATGACAAAAATAATCAAACTCCCAAAAATTCACACTTCTACTACACTTATAAGACTTCGTAACACTATCAGGTCGTTCACAGCTCTAGTTATCACTTAGTTAGGATATACGAGTATACCTATGTATGTTTGTTACACTTTCACGCAAAAGTACTAGATGGATTTTGATGAAATTTGGTATACGGATGATTCTAAACCTGAATTAACATTCAATTCAAACGGTTTTATAGGGACCGTGCGGGCGAAACAGAAGCAAACAGCATTGATAAATAAGGGAATTAAAGGTGTCTGTCTGACCGATCTAAGCTCCGATCTCTATATAATTGTATATTCTAGTCACGGTTATCTCATTATTAAGTTACTGTAATATATACAATGCGAAATTTTATCATCCCATTCTAAATTTATTACAATGCACAACAAAATTACAAACATTTTTAAACATATCAAAGTTGTGAATTTAGTTCGCACTTCATAAATTCAAGTGAGAAGTTTTCTCTTGCGTTTGCGTAAAATTCACTGAATTTCGTGAAAAGATATAATTCATGCTCGCGATATTCACGAACCGCATTCGCTTACGAGCATGAATCGTTCTTCACTTTCACTGGTGAACGCGTTTAAAACTCAAACTCGCAAGTATGTTTCAGCCAGTGTGTCACTAGATGGCGCTTTTTAGTTTCCATACAAATTCTAAACGCGCTCGCTATCGAGCGTGAAACAATAACGTCAAAAATAAAACTCAAACTAAACACTCAGGATGCTTATGAAATAAAGCAAGACCTGTATGAATAAGAAAGGTACAAAAAATTTGCTCTATATTATAAATGTAAATAACGATAAACAGGCAACCTTATTCACAGCCGTGACGCGACGGCGAACAAGAACCGTTTAATTTGTGCTTTCAGCGGCTTTTCATCGCGCTGTGTTACCACATTAAAATATTTGGTAAACACAACATTTTTTTACCTATACCATACGTAACAATTTTTGTAACGTATTGTTGGCTTACTTCTGAATGCTCGTTAGACTTTGAAAGCCAGTCGGTAGAAGATAACGTTTATGTTGATTTTTAAGCTAAAATGTGAGTACTTTTAAAACATATCACCGTGTACTTTAGAACTTAACGTAATGCATTTTATCATGCGTTTGGTTATCGTTGATACGTATCAATGTGTTGTTTATTACTGATGCTGTGTTGTCGCAGGCGGAGGTCGGCGGCGGCGCGGGCGGATGGCGGCAGTCGGTATGCTTGTGCGCGGCTGTTGCCGGACCAGACGTACGAGGGCGCCGCCGTCGTTGCCCCCGCCCCCGCCCCCGCCCCCGCCCCTCCCGCCGCCGCCACCGCTGCACACGCGCACGCGCACACGCTGCACGCCCTGCTGCGTGCGCACCGCGCGCACGCCGAGTTTTTCTGCGCCAACCGTACGCGCCGCTCCCGCACAACGCGCCAGTTAGTAGAAGCGTATAAGCTTAGTGACTATTAGTCGATTAATATGCGTGAGAAAGAAACGATGTGGTAAAAAAAGTTGAAGATAATAAATATTTGCTTATTCAGATATCAGCAAAAATTGCTCAACTGAACGCGATATATCCCAACTAGCAATTGGTATCGTAAAAAAGCCAGCAGCACATTTCTATTTCAGCTGTTGGTGAAGGATTTTTAATATGTCGTATAAATGAACTTTGCACGCGTTTTAGGCGCACATCTCTCACCTATGAACGCTGTAAATATAGTAAGATAATTGGCTTAATAACCAATTATACAGTTATTTTACGGCCACATGACAAAAGTTATTAAATAAGTTAATAGGTCTTGCTTTCATATGGGGAATTAAATTTTTCGTGTAATATACTTATTTTGATTTTGACTACTTTTGCATGGGCCACAAGATTTCGTGGGAATGAATAAAACTTTAACTTGATAATATTAATTTCATTACCAGCTTCTAATTTTCATCCCACAGCATTTACTCTATCTACATTTAGCTGAGAAATAGAAATGATGTTTCCACTTTATAACTTCTAGATCCACCATTTGCAGTTAGATTAGGGCCACTCAGTGCAAAATGTTAATAATATTTAAACAAAATACGGTACGGTACGGTTCCGTAGTCAACAAGAAACTTATAGTTTCGCCATATCCTTCTGTCTGTCCGTCCGCTCGTCCACGGTTTAGCTTATAAACGATTGGTACTAGAAAGTTGCAGTGTTATTACAAAAGAGATGTTAGACAGGGTTTTACCATGTGTTTAAGTAAACAATGTCTAAGAATATAAACCCTGTTTAAAATGATGTTTAACTTTGTCTATTACAAATCCATTTTTAGTCGTAGTCTAACTAACGCTGATTTAAACATGCAACCCGTAAAGCATTCGTTCAGTCGGCTTTCATTCGTTCATACACGTTCCATTATATGCACATCTTAAACAGACTTATGATAAATTCTAATCGTAAAAAGATATGTTCAATAACGTATTAGCTAATAACTTTCAAAAGTAAAAAAGAAAGTACAAAATTAACGTTTTTAAACTGGCACTTCTATTCATAATTCATATTAGAGTAAGATTAAGTAAAACTATAGCGAAATAATATGAAGAAACGGAACAACGACTACCTGATGCCGAACCCAACGCCGCACATGTTCACAAGCTGTGAACAGACACAGAAGCTATGCACACATGCACATGCTACGTGTATTTATTTGCAGATCTATACTTTCATCTCGAGGATTATGTGGAATATCGTCTTAAATAATTTCATATATTTTGTCAGCAAACAATCCACTAAATATGCCCTTTTTTTATATCAAAGTTCATTGTATTGCTCAAATGGATTAATTCGCGTTCGGTTTACTTACGCGTCCTAAAAGCTTTCCATGTAATCTAAATCGACCATATCAATATAATCTTTATCTTAAGAATATGGATGAATTTTCAACAAAGCACAACCTATTTTGAGGTTAGACACGCGTTAAACAACTCTCAACGAGTGTTTATATTTTAAACAATGTTTAAGCGATGTTTAGCCTTAAACAGTGCCTAAATACGATTTTGTAATAGAATTTTTTTTAAACACGTGTTCAACGCTTGTTTATTGGCAAGTACCATAACAGCCAAACAATATACAGAGTTAATTTTTTATATTTATCCTACAAAAACTCGAATCCGAGACCTCAGAGATTATTAAAAGAGGCGTCGATTTCTACTCTCGTGTGTCTCTAGACAGGCTTGGCGGACGCGTGAGAGTGACACTTATATGCAATTAACCATTGTTTATTTATTACTAATTGTTGATTTAATTCAGGACGGGCGATAGAGAGTGTGAGGCGCGCGCAGGCGGGAGGCGGAGCGCACACGCCACACCACGCGACGCTGACGGTAAGACACTTACTGACGTATGTAGCTCTACCAACTGACACCATAAGGTATGCTGAAATGTCATTATGATATTCTTGTTGGAAGACACATAATGATTTGTTTTTATTGCATCCAATTTTGAAATGTTGTAACTTGCCGTCATTGTAATCACAATCTTTTAGGATTGTGCCGCGATGAGACCTATGTAAAGTAATTTTTTTTCCGTTTTCATAAGCTTGTGTTTGCATGTATCTATGAGTATGAGCTTTGCATTTTAGTTATGAAGTTTCAATCAAAAATTAATCTGTCTAAAGTTAATCTGTTAAACTAAGCGATGTTCCGTTCAATCGTATTTTAAACTGCTTTGAATCGAAAATGGTTTGAATCGTACATTTTTAATGGTTCAACATAATGATCGGGCACCTATCCAAGTACCCGACTTGGTGGTGTTACAGAACGTGTCCGATCACCGTTCGACTCGAATTGTCCTATATAATTGTCTCGGAGCTCATTGTTACATTTAAGTTACGAGTCACGTCACGTTGTTTACTCGAGTTTTCCAACTAAATTTATTGTGTAGGTTTTTGCTGCGGCCGCTGTCGGCGGGAGCGCGACAATGCGCGCCGCTCGAATATAAAGCGGTGTCGTTACATAGCAAAAAGGAAAGCGAACATGGAAGAGTACTCTTATTATTGACATTCGATATATAGTGGATTGATTTGTCGTCTTCTTGCTCTATCTTACGCTGTTTCTTATGATGTGAAAGAGGACAGCTCACGGCGAAGTTTATTTTGATCGAAAATTGAATTTAAGTAGACGGAGCTTTCATCTACAAAATCTACGTACATAAAAATAAAGACAATCATGGATTATATTGAATGGAATGATCTAACAAGAATACTTCAGTATTTTTAGGTAGTAATCATCAGTTTTTTACCTATCAAAAACTATAAAATATTATTTTGATCATTTTATTGCTAGTGTTTTAGTTTACAATTATATATTTTTAATACATTAATAAATTATATTCACGACCAATTATACATATCAAACTCACAAAACCATGTATATATAGCGTATCGTAGCGAGCTGGTGTAATGTGCATCGAGCCTGGTGGCGACAGCCTTCGCAATAAATAAGTTGCGGGCGCGTTATCGCACGTGCCGCTTAATTGGCGTTATCTATGCGCCGTCGCCGCCGCCGCCATGTGGACCGTCGCACGCGCAGCCATTGTTGTGTGCTGGCGCCTTACATATGTGCACTATGTTGTCACTATCATGTCACGAAATATTTTTGCATGTCTTAAATTGAATAGCCTTCATGTTCAATTGCTTTAATAGCAGTTATACACGTAGCTTATAGGATGATATTTCGGTTTTTAGATATATCGAAATATCTAACGAAATATTTTACTCTAATACTCGTATATTATTTTCTAGGATACAATAGGGATGATGACTGGGTAAAAAAATGCAATTCTATTTAGTCCGTCAGTCAGATAATAGAAAAATATTAGATACGTATTTTTTTTTACTTCAAATTAACAAGAAATAGCTTAGATAACAGGCATTAAAGTTGAGGAGTGGGGGCTCGCTACGTCACAGTTGAGTAGAAAACGTACTCTAAAGTGACGTCATGCGAAATTTCAACTTAATGTAACGCCGTAATTTTTTGATTACGAAAAAAATAAAAAATTACGCGTTTAATATTTTTTAACACTCTACCTGACGGACAAACAAACAAAAATTTGTCATCATCCCTATTATTTACTTACGTTTTACTACATAATTACTTCGATATAATTATTTACAATTTAACTTGTAAGAGCTACAGGGTAAATGATACCTATTTAAAAATAATATGGAACACGTGTTTCTACTAATAATTTGATGTACCTATACTTATATGAAAATTCGATGAACGTCTAGTAGCCACCATAATGATCATAACAGCGTCCACAGCTGCATAGATGTAGATATACGCTTTCAAAATATATACAAAGATCATGCATCACATAAGTAAATGTATTGTAATAAACCATTATCCTAAACTTTTAAGATAGATGATTATGTGTTAAAATACATTACTCATTATTATATAAATATTATACATCGTCCTTACAAAAATAGTGTATTACAACAAGAAATGAAAAAATAATGCATTTGCAATTTTTTTCTATAGAGTCAATCTTTATAAACCCAGGTTTGGACCTTACAATAAACGTTAAGTAGTTTTTTTTATTTTAATTACATCTTTTACAGATAGACATTATTTCTCAAAACCAAATGAAAATTTGTGCCTTCTTGAAGCGTAAATGGCACGCGCACACTTCGACTGATCGTAGCGTGTTCAATATCAATTAAAATTAAAATAGAAATTTCAAACTATTGTGTATCATGAGTGTTACACACGTCGTGCGCCACAGCCTTAGCGGGTGACACCAACACACCGGTCACTCTGACTTGTTTTTTCGTGCATTGATTAATTATAACAACATAATAGTATCACCGGAAGGAGAGAAAATGTACATTTTATAACGTGTAACTCGTGTACTAGAATTAATTAGTATTCCGTTAAAATTCTTTCTTGCGTCAGTGGTGTCATGTCATGAAAAATTAACTTTATTACGGAATAATTGTATGTGAAATAGTGTTTAGTGATTGAGAACTGGAAATGACATCAATATTGACTAACGAGGAAGGAGGTGCGTATAATACGTGTTACATTATTTTAACGGTAGTTACAGATATTCTCGTATATTACGAATTTAATTCACGAATTGCAAACGCAAAAAGCAAATAACTAAAAAGTTACATAGTATAAATAGATATACGATATTAAGTGTAGAAATTGTTACCACCAAGTATTTCTTTATATAGAATACGACGCTGATTTTGAATGTTAAATATTAGTTCAAACGCTAAACTCGGGAAAAACACCAGAACTCATAATTAGAAGCACATTCTATAATTCTACTAGTCAGGTTAGTTTTTTATTATTTTAAATGCAAGTCCTACATCACGATGAGGGGTACCGATAACGAGTAGTGAAATACAGTTATAGATTGTTTTTAAACTCTTAGGTCTCTTACTCGTCGGTATCGCATCGAGCGAACATATAAATGACGATAAATCAATAGCAGGCGCACCTCGCGCTGGAAAATAACACAAAAAGCTGCCCCCTCTCGGGTTACCCGGTCCGTGTTAACTGACACTCGGCTCGGTGCGGTGCCACTATCCACACACATCTAGGCAGACACTAAAACAGCTTCGATAACACACGCCACGATTCACCGCGAGCCTCCATAGATCGTACTCACTGAATAACTTTTTAAACATTCGCATTAACTGAAACCCGATCAAGTACGCACGGGTCGGGTGAGCACACCGCGGACTACGTTCAAATTAGATAATCTTTGATTTCTAAAGTCTGTAATCAATAAACATTAATTTTAACTTATCAGTCCAGCAGTTCCGAAGCGAATGTGTCAGATCGACGGACAGACAGGCAGACATACGCACATACGATTAATTCAATAAGGTTTCTATTTTCCCACTTACCCTAAAAGTAACCCTAAAACTAATAAAAAGTATTTTATTCTAATATATAAGTTCATGTGGTGAAAATAAACAAGCTTTAAAATAGTAATTGTACAATGTTTGAAAATCGAAACAAACTCAATAATATTTTTGTCGAAAGAAAAAATAAATTAATATACCTATAACAATAACAGAAAAGGTAATATAAAGTAACGGCTGCAGCAAAGACAGCGCGTGAACGTTTTGTTATATCAAATTCAACGGCGTACACACATTAGACATCAACGCGTCACACACACACACACACACATCCACACTGGATAGAGAACTGTATTCGCCTGTTTAATTGTCTTATTAAGCTTATTTTTATATTTGTTTTATTTATTGGGTAATTTTTTTACTGAGATACGTTGCCAATTAGTTAACACTTTATAAGCACAAACTAGAACACATAAATCGACATCGTATCGCGACATATTTTCGAAAATATTGGAACGGTGCTCAGAACGCAGCACGAATAACAGAAGAATTGTTAACATCACAAGGCAATAAATTACAAAATTAAAGACAATACACTTTATATAAACTATAATTAATGCTATTAATAGAAACAAATATGATATGTATGTTATACCGCCCTCTTGCGGAAAAAAGGTTAACGTGTATCATCGATGGAAAAACTGTGTGCTCACGCGTACGCTGGAGCTTTGTCTATGAAATTTCCAAGTGCGGTTACACGAAACCTCGCCGCGATGTGTAGTTGCCCGTGTCGATTCTAGATGGAGCTACGATGTTCTTGCATACTTAAACTTAAGAAATCTGAATAATGAAGAATTTTCAACTATTTAAAAGCAAACAAATTTTGAATAAAAATACACATCCAATCCACAAGCACCAGCACCAGGCACCCCGCGATGATCCTTTTTCATTAAAATATTTTTCAGCGGGTACAGCAATGTGAGTGCAAAATTGCTCAAATAACTATATACAGCTACTACTATATAGGTGAAAAAAAAAATATATTTAGTAAAAAAGTTATGGAATTTATACATATGTTACAATAAAAAAGAAAAGTTACATCTTTGTTCTTTATAATATTAGTTTAGACAATCCTTTATGATCGAGTTGCGGTTGAGGAAAACGCCACCCACCGAGTGATGATAAGAGATATAAATTTAGTTCCATTAACGACCACCAGTATCGAGTGTCAGCCTAATGGAAACGTCGATATTACAATTAATAGATTACGAAAAAAACTAAAAGGATTTAGTGTTCATAGTAAAAATGCTTCGAATATATTTAATATTACATTATTAGTAGTAATTATGTTGTATTAAATCAACAAATATTTGTTAGCAGAAACAGCTGAGTGTGCATTGTAGTCTGTAGCTGAAGTTCTTGTTTCTGTAATAATCAGTGAATATCATCCAGACCCGATGTATCATCTGTAACTTAATTTTCTCTATTTTCTATTGGGACTCAAAGCTGAGATTATGGCACTGGTGGACGCAAGAGACTCGACCGTGCGACTCCTGCAGGCCACACGGTCTGATCCAAGAAATCCTTAACGCTAAATATAAAGACAATATGATCAAATATATTATTTTATATGGGATTTAGAAATAATGTCCTTATAGAATGTCAAATATCAATTAGGCATCTACCACAAATTAATTTACAACGAGCATAAAACATGAATTTTTAAATTAAAAAAGAAGATCGTAACTGTTATTTCAAAAGACTTGCCTATTTTGGCTTTGGAGTAGTATTTAAAAATATAGCGTTGTGGTGGGCAGCGAACGTTCTTACGTTTGTATTAATTGTGAATGTAACAGTTCCGTTAGTTGTATTAAATAAAATATAAAGAACGTTCAACGCACCAGCTGCTGCAGCAGCGGTACAGGTTAGAACAGGTTTATCACGAGCCTCGCGCTCGCGCACCACACGGACGGTGCGCTCTGTGGTGGAGGCGACCAGCCGCTCCTTGCTTTGTTTATTTATGTGTATTTAAACAATGGAGTTTAAATAACTCAGTTTTTTCTCAACTTAAATACAGAAGGCAGTAAAATATCTATGCGGTATCTCTAAGAATGAATATTTTTCATCTTATCATTGACAAAACGTTTAGGAACTTAATATTCTTTATATCCATAGCTGATTTATAAATCATTTAACTTGAAACTCGTGAAAGTGAGACTAGAATTAAATAGTTCTACTGTTAAACTAAGAATTCAAGTACAACTATTCTATAGGTACCTACCTAATTAATCTTGCAAGCCACCTCACGAAGATTTAGTTCCCATTTTGCCTGAGGGCGTTCTACTTCAGTATATACATATAAAATATATAGTGATATATATCAGTGAGGATTCATTAAATTCTCAAACCGTCTACACGTTATGTGACGCGCATGCCGAGGAGGCCACCCGTGCTACTGTTGTTTGTATATACTCATCAGTGTATCAGAAACTCTAGCATACTATTAAGTTTTCCCGCGACTTCTTATTTAGCCCGGGTCACCCGCGTATGATGTAGCTTCCTATAGGTGAAAGAATTATCATCATTGGCTCAGTATTTCCAAAGATTAACTCTCACAGAAGATTTACAAACAAACAAAGTTAGAAATGTTACTTCTTTATAATAAAAATATGTTGTATTTGTACAGATATGCAGTTATAATGTATCTTGGCTCGTACTAGATACGGTAAATAATACGTACGATATGAAATGTAAAGTAAAACTGAATCACAAGGGCCATCTCTTTTTTGAGGCTTTGCAACGATTCTCGTGTGCACATTTGCATATTAATTACGTAAAAAAAGGTTTTACTAATGTTCATAGAATTATAAGTTCAAATGAAGAAGTATCAGATCGAAACTTAAGCTTAAGTACGGAAATGTATGTACTTAATTTGGTACACATCTGGAAGTACCACACGGAATTATCTCTACAGTCGAGTAGTACATTTCCATCGGGATTGGGAAAGGCTTCTCGTAGCGGGTGAGCGGGCCGCGGGCGGGGTCTACTCTCGCATAGCTTTCGGCGTGAGCTTACAAATAAATAAACCAGTTTCCCCCTCCCCGCGCCCCGCCCCATCGCCGCTGTCTGTGCGCGCACGCAGCCTTTGCCCCGCGCTCGCTGGCATCCTCCGTTTAATGCACGGAATGAACTCTTACCCCCCTGAAGTAATATAATATATGTGTGAACTTTTCTCACACCATCAAATTTCATTTCAATCTTGCTCCCGACGCTCGTAGTCCCAACGTAGATCACATGTATGAAAGCGTACATTTCATATGTTAAATAATGAGAACTTTTATTTATATAGGTGGTGCGTCAAATGAGTTCAAACAGCGCGATACGGCGCCGGATGTTCTTCCACGCATTCCAATTGAAAATATGCTAATGTCAGTAGTAGAATGTAGTAGACACTTCAGCGGTCTTTTTTACATTGATTTGTTGACATTGAACTTCCTTTTGGTAGTATGGAGGTCGTTTGCCAAATGTTCATATGTGTGGTGGTGAGTGTTTGACACGACACTCGGTGCGGCCGGTAGGGCGGGGGCGGGGGCGGGGGCGGGGGCGGCGCGCGCGCGGCAGTACGCAGGTAGACGCGCGCGCGACTGGTCGCCACTATCGGCCCCGTGCGGCGCGGCCGCGGAGTGTGATGCGAGCGCGCCGCCCGCCATGGCCACGCTCGGCCTATCCAAGGTGTTCATTCTGGACAAGTACTTCACTGAGCTGCAAAAATTCTGGGAGACTGAGAAGAAACTGCAAGGTGAGGTCGCCCCGTCCTCCCCCCGCGCGCACCGCTCCGCCGCCGTCGGCGACGTCGTTCATTATCTTGTGTTACTTGAAAGCTCCAATGTATTCGCTTGCACTATAACAGTTGTGTATTCGTATTCTAAATATTCTTTGTTACTTTCTTCACGAGTTATATTAATACCTTATAAGCGACCGATTATCAAAAACGTTGTGTTGTCCTAACAATATGTAGTCTATCACTTGATAAAGTTGCCTAATTAGAAGAAACCTAATGGGATAGTACAGGAGCTAGATCGACAGTTTGTGTAAAGTAGAGAATAGTTAAGTTTTGATATATCGGGTAATGATGCAATACTAAATTGAAAGGAGGGTCGCTCATTTCTAAACAACTACATTAGGTCTGACACAGGTCATCCGCGTTGCTAATACATACTTCATTGCTACCTCGATCTCCTATGGAGATCTTGTAAGACACTGGCTTAAGCAGTGTCGGTAGTTTGCGATTATATTACTTAATAAAGATTTCTAACATCTTGATTTATCACATTTATCATATGTACAGCAAAAAATTACATAATGCTTAAATATTATGATCTTCCTAATATAAATAATACAACTGCTTTGGATAACTCTGATCTTGGATATTCAATTTCGGTAATTACAGTCACTCATTTTCATACATTAACTCGTTGAGTTTAATTAAAGATTTCAATCAAATTATTGTCACCCTGAACTTTGTGGCTCTCATTACTCCGGTGCTCTGTAATGAGAACATCAACCTTTATCGGCATCATAACCAACAATAATTTGTATCGTCCATCGCGCTTTGTCTCAGTCATAAATTGGACTTTGGAACTTCTCTGAATGTATAACAAGTCAAAACTATTTCAGTTGTAAAACTTTAACCACGTACAGCCTTCTATCGACGGCAATCATCCGATGGACAATAATGTTATATATGCGCATGAGTTGACTCATCGTAATCTCACGGACATGTTTCAGCTTTCGCGCGACTCACATCCGGATTCTTTTAATAAGTTTCTTTTGGTTAACTTATCGTACTTGTTTACTTGTAATTCGATAGTGTTGTAATTAACTTTTTCACATTATAAATGTTCCCTTACGGTCACGTTCTCTTATATTCCAATATGATATAGTCCCATGCAAACGCATCAGCAAAGGATGTCTATCTACTCTATGCACCACGCGTAAAGATTTCGAGATTTTTAGAATTTAGCAGATAAATATGTAGAGCAGATGATTTTGAGACGCCATATACTTGAACTCTTACTTTAATAAGAGCCTTCTCTGTTAGTTTCATAAGCTTTTAGTAAACAAGAAAATTTCCATCATATCAAGTTATCAGAATTATTAAAAAAATTATAGAAAAATTTGTAATACTATAGAACAAAATCTTCCTTATGACTCGCTCGATGTTTTCGTTCGTGACAGACAGACACAAAGAGAATGACACTACTTATTTCTTAATTTTATACAGCGTTAATCACCTGACAGTAGTCTCAATCAAAATAGATAGAAAACGTAATAATGATAAGAATATAAGGAGACATTATCATTATTAAATAGGAGTCGCGGTCAGAGGATTGCACACTAAAAATTAAAATAAATAAAAATATCGTGTCATGTGCCCACGGAGGGTCTCAAAATATTAACGGGTCGAGTTTTAAGATGTATTCAATGTAGGGTGTTCATCCCGTTTTAATATAAACACGTATAATATTATACTCATAGTGTTTCTTGTTGTTATTGTAGTGGTTCGTATTGTATATATTGGAGGGTCCTTGCACCTGTGACGTCACGGGCGCATTAGCTCATACGCGCTGGAGATGTTAGCCGGCTCGCTGGTTTTTGCGGTCGCCAAGCGACACGATACATCATGTTAGAAGTTAGAAGCAAAAAATTAATAGAGTCGTGCGAGTGTCCGCCGCGCGCGCGACAATTACGACGCGCACGCGCACGTGCGACGCGCGCCGCCCGACGCCCGACGCCCGCCAGCACTAACCACTCGCGGTTTTTGCGCTGCCACCTCGACATTACGGAATGCGCGGTGCATATACAGATACATATATTTATAGAGCATTGATAATTATTTGCACAGGACTAGCGTTAAAAATACAATACTTTTTCAATGTTTAACTTCAGATCACATTATTCGAACATGAACACTATTAATAATTAAATACTTTAGTGAGGGGTCAACACGTGCGCATCTACGAACAATTGACTTTAAACAAGATTAAATCTACTACAATTGAAAATAACTTATTTCAATAAGGTATTTTATATGGAGCAGCTAAGAATAATTAGACTTAAACAGTTTTATTAATAAAAAAGGTTTAACGTCCGAGTAAATTTACAATAAAAATCGCAATTTTAGTATCAGTCCAAATTTATGAATTCGGAATATTGTACCTTCTAACTTATATCTTTTTGGGAGTAAATATTAGTCCGTTTTGCTAAGTGTCTGTTCTTTATATACGTTCTATATTTCAAACTGCTAGTGCTGGACATAGATAACAAGTCACTTGGGTGCAGTGCCGCAGTGTGTTCTTGTTGAAATCGACATCAGGAATTGTATCACTAACGTGTTAGGTACTTAATGATTGACCATTGAACTATATTTAGGTACTTGCGGACTGTACACAATACTTATATTACACCTAAATTTATAAAAAGACCTTTTCAGTAGAATTATAGGTTATCACCGTAAGCATTTATCATCTACGTATTGAAATTTAATGTAACATTAAATATTAACGGAAATTAAATTTCCTTAATTAACAAAATATAAATATTTTACGGAAGACGATAATATTCAAGTATCAAACATGATTTATTCAGTTTTGTATAGTTCTTTTTTACGCAAACGATAATTTTTCAATATCATATTGTTAAAGTTCGTACTTCGTTCAAAAGACATCAACGCGCCACGCTATCCGGTGTTCAATTATAATAGTTTTTATCAGTTATATTTACAGTTGCAGGTGTATATAATAGGTTTATGATATAAAAGCACTATGTAACGTATATATTATAATGTTGATTGGACGACCTGTAAGAAGCTCCGTGTTACGTAAATTTAATTATATGAAGCTTTTGTATTGTATATGGTGCTGATCGCACTAGGAGTGCACGTAAATCGAGCAAGACTCCGCGTTTGATTCACGGTTGGTGGACAGTTTGTAATCAAAGTAACCGAATGTCTATTTTATATTGCGTCTGGGTGATTATATGTAATCTTTCTTCAATATAAGAGCCTTTTAAGCGATGAATTTGATGCAGTATAAATAATTCATACTAGTAGAATCTATTTCAAAGGTAACTAACTAAGTATTTCGCGGTAAAAAGTATTTTGCATAACTGACGTATATAAACGCAAAACAATATCAGAACAACGTTTGGGACATTCAGCGATGTAAAAGAAAGACAAACAAACACACTTTACCATTTATATTAAATTATTATGAATTGGAAATGCGTCACCAAGATGGATTACAATTCGGAAACGCTTTAGAAAATATCAGCCCCCTTACTCTCGAACGCAATCGCGCCCGATCGACATTGCAATTGTGCCATTTGATACATGCTAGTGAACCGAACAAGAGTCGCGATTGCGTTCGAGAGTAAGGGGGCTGATGATTAGTTAATTAATGACGACGCAAAAGACGTCCTGAACAAGTGGTAGGGGAAAATAAAAAATTTGGACGATTCGAAAGTGCTTGCAATGAGCCTACTTGAATAAAGATATTTTCCTTTCAGTTATACAGTTAATTGTCAAATATTTGTGATTTATAACAGGTCTAGTTAGGCGGGTGATTTAATCGTTTGAGCAAAACAAGCCACGTAGTAGCAATAAACCTGCCCACGCAGAGCCAGAGCCATCTACCGGCGTCGTCCTCCATCTGTGATCATTTGACGTATTCGTATCATAGCAGATTTAGATCTCATCAGAGTCTACGTCATAAACAGAGGTTTTTTTTTGAGTGATAAAAGATAATCACCGACCACAAACTTGAATTACTCGGAGAAAGATTTTTGTCGTTACTCAGAAGGTATCACAATTTTAGAGATAGAGAAAAAATCAGGTCCTTGTTTTGCGTATTAATGTTACAATGTTAGAATACACAAAATGGGTTTTTATTGTATATTTCCACAAGCTTTCTGCCAGTAGCGTCGTAGGTGTGGTCCTGTGTTATACATAAAACCCGTTCTTTTAAACCACCGTACCTAAAAGACCGTATCAAAATCCGTTGCGTAGCTTTAAAGATCTAAGCATACCTACATAGGGACAGGCAGACGGAATAAGCCTTTGTTATATACTATGTATTGATAATCTACGTGGTGGACAGGCTCACTCGCATGTTACAACCGATGTACTATTGTGACATCAATGTCACTATCAATTTAA